GGAAGCACAGACTATGTTCCTGTTACGTTCTTCTTCTATCCTCTGGATTCCTTTTGTACCTCAGACTTGGTTAATCAACAACACTCTCAGTATTTTAATGCAAAAAAAAAAAAAGTTTAATAAATAGGAGAAAAGCCAGTTTAGAGATGCCTTGTATGACAGCACTCTGCAGGATTCTCTCTGTTAAATAGCCTCTTGATTTAATTCAACAACTGCATTGATGGTTTGTTAAATGCCAGACATGTTACTATCATCTAACAAAGAGATTGTTTTATCTCAAGAATGGATCACACTTGATAATTCAGACAAAGAAGAAAATCAAGTTTTTGCCTTCAACATTGTAAGGGTTTTGTTTTTTCCAAATTAAAATTCTATCAGACCTTGTGGCCACATAGATGGATGTTTGCTCTTTCAACTTCAAGCTGGAGATTATTCTCAAATCGGCCATATGCAGAGTCTGGGGCAGGAGAACATACTGCCCCTGGGATAACGTGAGACTGCTGAGCTAATGCTTCTTCAAGGAAGACAGATGTAGTACGTGATGTGTATTCCAAGACCAGCTGGGATTTCAAAGGATATTAAGGTGAAATCATCTGGCCATACGTTCGCCTGTATGGCCACTTCTGACTATTTTTATCCTTTTCTCGATTTACCTTTTGCTGACAGTGGTCTGATTTGTGACGGCCAAAGCGCCTCCCTCCCTCCACAGGAGGGACGAACTGGCTTAGATTCCCAGGCCGTTCGCTAGGGAACACCAGGAAACCTGGGCCTACTCTGTAGCCTTTGCCTCTCCCTAGTTCAGGGCACCCCATTTTCCTTCCTCCTCGATCTCCATACATTCAGTAGCCTTGCCTGGAGTCAGTCCTTTCTCCCACTTTGCAGCCAGAAGGAACCTTCTGAAACGCAAATGTGGTCCCATGAATTCCTGCTCAAAATCTCACTGCGCCTCAGGATTATATGCAAACTGCCAGACACAATGCACCAGCCCCATGTGAGCTGGCCCCTATTGTCCTTCCCGTCCTTTTCCCACTGTCTCCCTCCAAGGCTCCTGCACATCATCAAGTCGGAGCTACTTTCAGTCTCCCAAATGTATCAATCATTCAACAAATATTTATGGAGCACTTAATACATGCTGGACAGTAGGAATACAGAAAATGAACAAAATAGATAAAAATCCCTGGATTGTCCTAGAGGAAACAAAATAAACAAAATAGTATAGATAACTTCTGATTAAAAATTAACAATAAAATAGAGAAACAAGATATACAGTGCCCCTCTTGACACATGCTCTTCTGGCAAATGTATTATTGCATAGTATATTTTGTTCTGATCGAATATATAATAGAACATATTGCCTATAATACTGAGTTGTCTCTCTCATCCCTTTGTTCTCAGCTTGGCCACATCTTTCTCCTGAAATCCTTCCTTTCCCCTAAAACCCATCGTCCATGTCCCTCCGACATAATTTCATAGCCTTCTATTGCTTCCCTTATCCAGTATTTGTCAATCTAAATTACCATCGCTGGATTAGATATCCATCTTCCAGGTGGACAGTAAGTCTCTGAGCATGTATTCACTCAGGTAGTCCCCTCAGTAGGCAACATGGGTCCAGTGTTTTGTAGCTACTCCCGCTGATCATATGTTCTGACTGAGACAGCACTAAGCGACACCATGCAGAACAAGCGGAAATGATTCTTTCTAATGATCTTCCCATTTGCATCTTGTAATTAACAAATACTACCTGGTGTATGTTGTATCCTGATTGTCTCTGAATGAGTAATTGGAAGAGCCAATTGCCATAATAATTTAAAATTTTCTGTGGCTTGTGTCTAAGGATTTCAACAACATAAGACCCCAAGTCTGGCTTCTACCAGATCTTAGCCAAAAATTCAAGTCAGGCTCTTTCTTTTAACACTTCTGTGAACTTTTGCAGCTATGGCATTTGGGGTTTGGTAGATTAATTACACGGATCCACTCAACAAATATTTACTTATTTAAGTGGCACTGTGCCACATACTGTGGGACAAAGATGAATAAGATATGCTCACCGTTCTCCAAAGCAGTCACGGATGGCAGCAGTTTTCAAACAGAATATGTGCACCACAGGACACATGAAGCCTTTCCAAAACGTACACAGGCAGGAGTAGTGTTAACAGAACCCATTTTCAGATCCTTAAACTGAACTGCCTGGAAAGGTTTGCCAAGGAGCCAAACCAGTTCTACATTTTGTATCACTTTTTCCAACCACCCTGTTTCCACTTTACAGAATCGAGACAGACCTCTTACCCATTCTGAGTCACACTACACACTAGCCTGAGTGTAAAAACACAGAAGGAACTACTGGAAATGTCAGAAGAAGTCTCCTATACCTGAGGCACCGTAACTCCCTCCTCCATCTCAAAAATTGATGTATCACCAATAAATTTTTGCTCTCCGGCATTTTTGATGCACATGGGATTTGATCACTTAGTTACTGGTAATAACGGCATGATAAATTCAATAAACTTGACAAATAAGCTTGATAAATAAATTTGATAAACTTGAAAAATAATGCATAGAGCCCAACATTAGGAAAATCTTTTAAACTAAAATTTCAAATTTAAACATTATTGTTGCGGAAGAATGTGATAGGGCAACAAAAGATTTTCACTCATAAAGATATGTATTACATCAAAGTAAAACTCTTTGGGAGAAATGGAATGAAGATGTAAGTTCTAGGATCGAGAGCAGAATGTGTGCCCAACAGACACAGGCCCTAAATTCAAATCCCAGCTTGATACTTTCCTCCCTCCACTGCTCTTTCTTTTCTTTCTCTCAGGAAGTCACTGAAGTGGCCCTGCTTGCAGCACAGTCTTGGCCAAAACACACTTTTTTGTATAAAGACTTCCACAAAATGGTGTTTTTGCAACCATATCTTCTGTGGTCTTTTTTTTTCTGTGTCAGCTTCGAGTCCCCTCAATTTCCTTCCATTTCCCTATTGTCCACCAAGTATGATTTCACCAGAAAAATCTCCCAAATATCCTTGTAGTCTGACTTCAAGAAGGTTGTGGATGAAGTTGTTGAGTCAGGCTGGCATCAATAACAATGCTTAAGGCCACCTCCTGCCCACTTCTGTTCCACTCAGCCTGGATACTGTGTCATTTATCATCAGTTCTTCTTCGTTTTCTGGCCCCTTACAAGTCACATGCAGTCATGCATGTCCACATGTACATAAATTATTCTTGTAAGTGAACTTATGAGCAACTGAATTAAATGTCACTACAGGATTGAACATCTGTTACATCGCACTAAAGCTATCACTCTCCACACGCATAAATCTTTACAATCAAAACAAATTAGTCTAGCATGTTATGTCTAACAAACATTTTCTTTTGTCATGTTGTGGCTCATGCCCAAATAGAGATAACAAACCAGTGGATGAAAATAATAAAACCTCATCACTGGTTCAAATGTGGTCAAAGTGGTGAATAAAGAATAATGACTCCTTGGCAGGGAGAGAAATAAACAGCAATATAACAGCCTGGACAAGGAGGGGTAGAGGGCTCGGCCTCATGAAACTCATTATAACAAAGTCTGGGGGAGAAATCCTTGTCTGGTTTTAGAACCAAGAATAGCGCCAGTTTTCTTGAGCTTGTGTTTTCCTAATGGACCCTGGACTGTGTCATTCCTGGGGGTTTTCTTTTTCCATTTGCTAAAACGTTGAGGATTACATGGGTGGCTTGGATATAGTAGGAGAGGCCTCATGATGGGTGGTTTTCAGTCTCACTCCTGGTTCTGCGTACTGTCCATATTATTTTCTTTGCTTCTTTCCCTTTGCTTTTTTTTAATTGCAAGAAAATAGACATGACCCTGTATTTATCACTTTAACTATTTTGAAGTAATTCAGTGGTAGTAAACAGTCATAATGTCGTGCAAACTTGCTCACCATACATCTATAAAACATTTTTATCTTACAAAGCAGAAACTCTGTACCTTATATAGAATTGTACAGTTTCTCTCACTTTTAATCCATGCTATCCTGTTTGTAAGTTTATACCCTCTCCTGAAATGAACCAAAATAAACAAACTAAGAAAATAAAACAAAAAGACTGCCTGGAGTTGAGAAGGGTTCTATTCTTATTAAGTCAGTGATAAGAATATAATGCTTGCTAATTAGAACAAAACATAATGAATTATAATAAGCTCATTATTTACATGGTTAGTTAAATGTTCACATAACAAGCATATTTAAAGTAATAATAAATTAAAGGAGAGAGTGAAAGTAGTAGAGGTTCCCACAAGAAATATCAAGATAATTAAACAAGGAAGCAATTGTAGATTTTAACTCCAGACCCAATGGGCTAAATGGCAATACTCTGGTCATGAAGGTTATGGACAGAGCTGCTTCTCTGACAGTGGTTCTCAAAGTTTGGTGTACATAAGACTTAATCACCACAAGCCCAGAGAGTGGAATCAGAGTTGACTAGGACTTGGGGGTCTGAGTGTTCAGCTGTCCGCGTGGCTTCAACATGGGGGGGTGATTGTCAATGCTGAGAAACGGCGGAGCTTGCAGTAGATTACAGCGCAGGTTGGAAGGCTGGCTTCTGTTCAGTTTGGTAGGATAATCTTGGATTGTGTTATGACTATCGGACCATGGTATCCAGTGCTACCTGTTTTAACTGCTTCACTTTCTCTTGCACAGTTAGTGTTGCCGGACCAAGCTACTGAGATCAGAGGCAAAGGCAGCAATGAATGACGCTGCTAACAGCCTCATTCAGCTCTGGAGTGGAGGATCTGCAAGACCCGACCCTCTCCCCATATCATCACAGCCTCAAGGACGGGCCTTGTCGTGGTTTTACTTTTGTGTTTCTTTTCTGGTCCACCTCTGCGTCATCAGATACCAACCGGCAGGAGGGAAAATGTCTCCGGGCAGCTGTGCTCACAGCGAAAGATCAATATCTGGCTTCTCCCTCATTTATAGCTTTTGGTTTTTTGTTTTTTCTTTCTTTCCTTCTTTCTAGAATATGTCTGTGCTGGAGAATCACCACTGGCGATCTACAATTGGCATGCTCCGAGAATCAAGGCTTCTCGCTCACTTGCCAAAGGAAATGACGTAAGTGCCACGAGAGGAGATAGACATGTGCACTCGGGAAAGATAAGCGCCTTTTCTGGGGTGTGCGTGCTTGGGACCTCCTGGACGAAGGGCAGAGAGTCAGTGCTGTACTTCCTGCCTGCCTTTGGTTATTTATCAGAAGAGATGCGGTGTCAGTTAATGCGATCCAGAAATCAGAATCTCTCTGCACACTTTGAAAGGGCCCTGGATGGTCTATGACCTGAAGTCAGGAAAAGGGATAATAAAACAGCTCTGGGCTTTCACACTTTTCCGAATCAACACTCTGCTTTGCCAAATTCTTGTCCTTTACGTTAGCAAAATTGTCCTCCCGTTTAAATCCAAAGAATAAATATTTGTCAGGGAGAAACAGGCATTATCGAGCTAGATTTAGGACTGGTTTAAGTGTGTTTCATAATTGCCAGTCTTAGCAAAAATAGTAATCAAAACTCCTCTTCTAAAATTCTTTCGATGAGTAAGTGAATTGGTCCCAACAATCTTTTCACCATTAATTTGTGTAATGGCTCTTCCATTTCAAACAGAGGAGGAAATACTAGTTTCCTGGTCTATTGTTTGTTAGCCTACATATGCAAGCCGAATCACTCAATCCAAGGCCACTGCCCCATTTTCATACTTGTCCCAAGTTAGCTGCTATGCTGTCTTCCAAGGACACCACTAATTCTGATCTGTTTGATGACAATGTGCAAAACCCAGGGGAACTAAGTGAGTGGCAAAAATAGCTGGCTGCACCCTTCTTAATGACAAGCATGAGGCTTGAGGTCAAGGACCAAGCCGAATTTCCCCATAGGACAGGTAGCATGTTCTGGCCCTCTGATACTATCTCATGCTATTTCCTGGTATCCAGAGGAATGTGGAATTTGCAAGAGGAACTTCAATCTTGATAACTTTTTACCCCCCTGGAACTAAATAAATCCAGCCCTCGTGCATGGTATAAAAACGTATGCCTTTTATTAGAATAATAAATTCCAGCACTGAAAAATCTAAATGCAAGTGAACTAAAAATTGAACAAGAAATCAAGAAGGAGAAGGCGAGGAAAGAAAAGGTAAGTGGAGAGGAATGGGAAAGAATGAAATGAAAGGGAAAAGAGAGGAAAGGACCAGGTTAAATAGGGCTATCCTAGATAATCCCTGTGTCCATCTTGCTTGTTGCTCACTTAGCATTAACATCCTAGATTCGCCTTATCTTTCTTATGGATTTCAAATTAAAATGTCACATATTTATGTATCATTGTGAAACACCATGTTACTTTTTCAAAAGAATAATTGTTATGCAATAGTACATGGGAAAATACTTTATAATACCAGTTATTATCGTGATCATCATTATTACTCCTAGCCTCATACAAATACTTTAAAGTCATTTTCCTCGTTTTGAAAGCTACACAAACTGTAGAGACTAAGGGAAATTGAGAAAAGCATAGGTTGAACCTCATGAAGTTGTTTTTTGTAAGGTCAAAAACAGTAGAATATTGACACTTTTATATGGTTTATCCTCTTAGAATAAAGAAAATTGAAATCACTGGTATCATGGTATCTGGGGCTAGTTAATGCTAGCTTGTCATATTTTCTTTTAGTCTGCTTTCAATTTAACTGTAAAATAAAGGACTTAGTTTCAAATTCACATCCTGGTATTTTTCACTTATTATAAAGGCTTTTTTTTTCCCATATCATTAAACCTGTTAAATTAAAATTATTTAATTGGTTATGCATCAAAAAGGTGTCCAAATCAATGTAATTATTGTCTACTGTTTGGAACTTAGATTATTTCCAATTTTTAAAATTAATTTTATTGGTACATTTAAGATACACAATATAATGACATTTATTGTTGGAAATTTGCACCTGTACATAATCAATCTTAGTTCTTTTTTTCCCCATTCCCCTGCCCTCCCTTCAACCCCCCTATGCCTCCCTATCTACAAAGACTTTGTTTCCCTATTTTTCATTTTCTCAATTAATTCCATTCCCTTCTTTCTTTTCTCCTACCCCTCTCATTTCCCTTCCCTTTGTCCCTTTTCTTCCTGTTTCACATTACCTATTATACCTTTTAGTCCTTATTTACACTTTCAGTTTCTCACCCTAGAGAAAAACCTATTATATTTTAGTCCTTATTTACACTTTCAGTTTCTCACCCTAGAGAAACTATTTGGTTTTTACACATGTATCCTATTTATGTCGCTTAAGAGTATTGCCTCAATGTGCATCCATTTAGCTATAAATTTCCAATTTTTTATCATTACAAATAATGTTCAGTGAGCATTCTTAAGCTTATGTTTTTATTTCAAATGCTAATACCTATTATTGGCCAGAAAGTTTGAATTTTTAGTGTTCTTGTTGCATATTTTTAAATTATTTTTTTAAAAAGCTATATCCATCTATAATTCCATTTATGAATTATAAGAAAATCTACCAATGCACCATCACCAAAGTCAGGCTTTATCTTTATTATATTTTTTAAATATTTGCAACCTTGATACACATATATGTGAATACATATACATATATGTGTTTATATGTTCAGAGATAAAAAGAGATTTTTATTCATTGAGCAAGCGTCTTTCATTTAAACTGACACTGAAATTTTTTGTGTCTATTGGCCATTGATGTTTATTTAAAGAACAAATTTTTTATTTGGTCTTTTCCTATTTTCCTATCAGTTTTATTTGTAAGAACTCTGTATATTAACTATAGTAACCATATATGTTGTAAATATTACTTGAGGGTTTTAGTTTGTTTTTTAATTTAATTCACAAAACATTATATCTAACTAAAATATTTTTATTTTCTAATTATAAATATAATATTCACATTTTTAAAGAAGCTATACAATGTTAACATAAAGAAGAAAAAAATCAACCATAATCACATTATATCTTTCCAGATTCTTTTTTGTGACTATGGAAACCACACTTAGCATGCTGCTTTTTAATATAACAATAAAACATGACATTTCCATATCAATAAATATAGCTACACATCATCATATTTAATAATTGCATAGTACTAATGTGTCAGGGTTTAACTAATCTCCTACTTACAAAATACTTGTGATTTCTATCTCCTTATCTTAGAATATTTAACTTGTTACTTTACTAATTACAGCCTAACATGTTTCTATAAATTTGTACATGAACTGTCAAATCATTTCTACTATCAAATGCTGTTAACACTAATTCCTAAACTACTCTCCAGAAACACTGTTAATTCAGCAAATTATTTAGCTGTCACTTTTAATCTTCATCAATAAAGATGGGAGAAATAGTATCACATAGGTGTTTAAATCTGCTTTCTGTTATACTAAAAGTAATATCACTTCCAGTTTTGGAGGCATTTTGCATTTTTTGTGAGCTGTGTGTTTCATGTAATTAATGTTCAGAAATAGATTACAGATACATGTATCACTTACTTCAAAATATGAATGATGGAATTATAAACCTATTAGAATATAAGTAGAGGAAGTTTTCAGTAGAAGTGTGAATGACTTCTTAAACAGGAAATAAAACCTAACACTAAATAAAAAGATTTATAGATTGTTACATTAAAAATTAAAACTCTATCAAAAATTATCATAAAGCAGAAAGACAAGCCACAGAGTGAAAAGAGATATTTTCAATGCATAACTGAAAAGGAGTCAGTCACATATGCAAAATATGTGAAGGATCTTTAGAATCAATAAGAAAAAGGGAGAAAGCCAATTGCATTATGAAAACTAGAATAGAAAAATTAAAAGAATAAAAACTGCCAATAACCCAATGAAAATATGTACAGCTTCAGTAGCAAAATCAGAGGAATTCAGGGCAAGGGATTTGGCTCAGCAATTCTGCTGCCTGACTTGCAAGCACAAGGGTCCAAGTTTGATCCCTGGTACCAAAAATAAAAAACTATACTGAGTACAGTGTTGCATGACAGGCACCTAATTGGAAAGAAAATGCAAAGGGTAAGAATGTAGAGCAATGAAAGTTTCATCTATTACTGCTAGGAGTAAAGATTTAGACAATCATTTTGAAAATAATTGGCAATATATCACAGACAATCACACGCTGTGATCCAGTCATTCCCCTCCTAGTCGTAAACCCTAGAGAAGCCTCTGTACATATATAAGTGGATGTATGCAAAGATATTTATTGTGTCGCTCCAGTGTGTTTCTAGACAAAAACTAGAAATCAGAAACAACCCAAGTGCCCATTGGTAACACATTGTTATACTCCTCCACCGGGATATAATATAATGAAAACTACAGCCTCCACACCAACATGGAGAATTCCAAGTATATTACTTTAAACTAAAGAAACATGACGTGGATTAACATATGTCACATAACTTGAAGTTTAAAAAGGATAACATTAAAGCATATCATTTAAACATGTATGCACAGGTGGTTAAATTGTTATAAGTAGCAAGAAAATCACTAACACAAATAGTAAGAAAGTGGGTACTTCAGACTTGGGGTGAGGAGGGTGTGATGGGAGAAGCGATGGAGATTTTCTGTAGTACTGGAAGACAACGTTCTTGATCTGAGTGGCAATTACACGATGTTCGCTTTCTATTTATTCATTAAATTATGTAAGTATGTGCTATGAACTCTAGTTACACATTTCATTTCTAAAGGTGAACTTTAAAAACAGTTATGAGCCAGGTGTGGTGGTGCACACCTGTAATTCCAGCACTCAAGAGGCTGAGGCAGGGAGATTCCAGAGAGTTCAAGGCCAGCCTGGGCTATGTAGTTAGTTCAAGGCCACCCTGCACTACAAAGCAAGACCCTATCTTAAAAACCAAAAAATAAAATAAAAAGTTAAAAGCCTTCCACTAATTGCTTCTACATATGAAATACATCTTTGATATGCCTTTATTTTTACAAAATACTCCACTTCCTCAAAATCATTTGTCAACAAATATATCTCTTGCCCAGTAGTATTTAATGGTGTCTTAGTCACCCTTTATTTCTTTACATTTAATTATGTCTTTCTGTTCTATTTCATGCTGTTGCTAGAACTTTCCATCTTATAATACCAATCACTATTACTCTCTTATTTTCTCAGGCCATGAAAATCCTAACATTTGGACTAGATTGAACTTTTTAGAAGCACAGCTCCTGTGACTCTGCAGGTTTTGTTGTGTCCCTTAAAGCATGCATTTCTACTTGGCTTTCAGTTTCCCCTCTTGGGAACCATGGAAATGTATTAACTTCCACAGTTGTTCACCCAAGGTTTCAATCACCACACAGCTCTGGCTCGCCTCCCATCTAAGGATAGGAGACTTGCTGTTAGGCTGTGGGGTCCTGGGACACTGTGTAATAAAGAGAGTGAAAGTTAGAGGTGAGCTTAGAAGACACCTGAGGATGGGGAGATCAATCCTCCTCCTCAACGGGATTCACTTTGTTTGTGTGTGTGTGTGTGTGTGTGTGTGTGTGTGTGTGTGTGTGTGTTTTCTCTTTTGTTCTATGGATGCAGACAGGATATTGAACAGCAGCTGGGCTCCCTGATTTTGGCAACAGACATCAACAGGCAGAATGAATTTTTGACCCGATTGAAAACTCACCTCCACAACAAAGACTTAAGACTGGTGGATGCACAGGACAGACACTTCATGCTTCAGGTAAACAATAACCAAAAAACCCATCCGCCTTGCTCAGCAAAAACCCTTAGAGGCATGATCAATGATTTTACCACATTTCAGAAGGAGTAATCTCCCATGGTATAAATTAGAGTAGTGAGCTACTTTATAAAAGCTCTGATGGGCCAGGGATTTAGCTCAGAGGTTCGGTGGCTTGCCTTGCAAGAGCAAGGACCCGAGTTCAATACCTGGTACCATAAAAAATAAAATAAAAAATAAAAGCTCTGAGACACGAAATTGTTAAGTGGTTTCCAATCAAAGTCTATATTTCACATCGGTAAAAATATCTCACTTTTCCCTGTTCCCTTCTGTAACTACTTCACCACAAAGTATCCCTGCTAGAAGGTTGTACGCATGCAGTAAGTGTTATTTTTGTGGCTTTTGTGTTTGTTTTTGCAGTGCTATGGATAGAAACCTGGGAAAGCTAGGCAAGCATTCTACCACTGAGCTACACTCCCAGCCCAAGTGTTTACCACGTTTTCTGATTTTGTGGCTTGACATAAAACTGACCAGTATGATACCTGTGCAGTCTTAAAAGCCTGTCTCTGTGACATAAAAATATATTAATTATAGTACCATCAAAAGTTGAAAAACAAGAGGATTTCCTTTACCTAAAATCTTTTTAAATGGGTTTACTTTACTATCTAACCTGTTGTTTTCACCTAAGATGCACCATTTTTAGACACCAGTAAATAAATTATTGTAAATTACATTGAAAGCCTAACCCTTTCTGCTTTACTCCATGACAAGAAGCCATTTGTAACATGAGAATGAGGGCAGAGTAAACTTGGGAAGTAGCAGTGTGACCTGGTATCCAAATCAGAGCTTTCTTCTTGATCCTCCATTTTCTCTTATCTTCCTTCTACCCTTCTGAAACAAAAGACTGAATACATGGACCATGAATTCACCTAGATAGATCAACTTTAACCGGGAGCTAAAGACAGAAGCATCGATTTTTGTTCAGGTCCTCGCGCTATGCTGTGTAGCTATCCAAAGTGTCCCATCCTTGCCAGGAAGTACCCTACACCCAGCTGTGGAGCTGTGCCTCCCTCCTGCCTCCTCCCTCCTGCCCAACTAATCTTCTCGTACCTGAACGCTCAAAGACAAAGCAGATGCTTGATTTGAGTGACTCAAGCCAGGCTATAAGTAATAAAAAGATTTGTCCTGAACACTCCCATTTCCAAAGGGATACTTGCTAACTCGAATCTCTAAAAGGCAGAACCTGGAAGGGATATCTGTCCCTAACCTGCTCTGACGTGTACCAATGCCACCACCAACCAGGAGGTAAATAAACAAATTTACAACTTCCCATGACCCAAGATTCTCCCAGATACCAAGCGAGTCAAAACAACGGACACCATGGTAGGCAAGTCTCTCAGAAGCAGTCTCTTAGCAGGCAATGGTCACAGGAGAGAATCCACTTGACTGGAAATTCAAGATGACCTCCCTAGGGTCATCATCACTGACAAAAGCTGGACTGCTGGATCCAGACCAGTGTGAGCAAGCCGGGAAGCCCTAGAGTTAGCTACACAAACATTACACTCCTAGTTTTGACATGACTCAGCACCCTGGCTAGCAAACAGAGCTCACTCACACATGCAGGCACAGAGAGAGAAATGCAGGCACACAGGATTTAAGTGCTGTGTGTGGATTGGGTCAATGGGACAGTGAGTTCCACATGATCTTACCTGAGCCTGGCCAGAGGTCCTGCAACCTCACTGCCTATAAGAGGTGGGGCAACAGAAGGAGTAGGGCCATGGCTTTCCTTGGCCTGCCTTACCCCAAGGCTCCTCCAGAGAGCTCCTTGTCCTTGAACTGTGGCTCTTCTCTCCTTCTGGCCCCTATAAAGCAGGAGTTATGAATGAAGGGTTTTGTGTAGTTGTGAATAGGGCTGTTTCCTAAAGAGGCTGGCCAGGGAGGCCACCTGAAAATACAGGCCTGGTACCATGCAGCAAACCAGCAGGCTGCGCAGTGCCCTTGGCTTAGGGAATATTGTCATCCTCTGACAATCTCTCCTGCCTTGTCATTTCTCAGATCGCCTTGAAGTGTGCTGACATTTGCAATCCTTGTAGAATCTGGGAGATGAGCAAGCAATGGAGTGAAAGGGTCTGTGAAGAATTCTACAGACAAGGTTGGTAGTGATCCAGCAGCAGAGGTTCCGTTGCCTTTTCTCCCTTTAGGCATTTGTCCTACTAAAAACAGGAAACGGCTAATCTATCATGACATTTGTTCTCCCATCAACTCATATTATCCTAACCTTTCTCTTTAACTCTCTTGCAAACCATCCAACTCTTTCGTTTGAAAAAAAAATTTTTTTTAATGAATAATGTCAACTTACTATGGAAACAAGCAGGAATGAGACACAATGAAAAAGAGTGAAAGTGGAAGATATATAGAGATATAGAAGATGAAGGAAAGAAAGAGAGAGAGAGGAGAGAGAGAGAGAGAGAGAGAGAGAGAGAGAGAGAGAGAGAGAGAGAGAGAGTAGGAGAGGAACCATTTAGCATAGTGCCCTTCAACAATTGCTGCTCTATGATGTGGCATGGTATAACTTTACAACACTAGGAAGGACTCACAGTAACCTTATGTTTAACTCCATTCTCATGATAAAAATAATCCTCAGACCAGACAGTCACTCTGCTGCTGTGTTTAAGAGAGAAAAAGAAGAAAAGAGAGAGAGAGAGAGAGAGAGAGAGAGAGAGAGAGAGAGAGAGAGAGAAATATCTTTCCTCTGTGGATATAATAAAGTGAGGCACAGTTTGATGTTTACCTGACTTTATTTTGAGCACAGCCCAAAGGCTAAGTGCCATTTTGGGTTGGTGTCTTCTACTCTGACAGAAAACTCAGATCTTTTTGTCTGCCTTCCCCTCACTTTCTCAAAAAGTTCATAATGAAATAGAACAGGGCTGCAAGAAGATTGGGTTCATTCCTTCAAATATAGTTTGAACACTGAAGTAGAAAAGTTTTGCTGCAAAAAAAGATGAATGGTGGTGGGGGAAAGATGAATGACTCTGAGTTAAGGTATAATTTTTTGAAAGATTACCTTTCTTCAGAAATGAGGCAGTGAATTAGCAACCAGGATCTTGACATTGGGTGGGATATGGATCTTTGAACACAGCCTTGTTTCTTCAGGCTTGGTTTCAGTGTTCAGGATGTTTGTTCAGGCACCAGCAGTGGCCTCACACTAGTGACAGGATCAGGTTTGAAAGGCTGAGAACAAATAAAGCTTGAAGTGTCCCACATACCAGCTCTGTGGGGAGGTCAAACAGCAACAGAGAATCTTTTGGAGAAGCTTCCATTGAAAGATGTGTCAGTGACATCACGATGGCCCCAAAGACAGAAGACAAAGAAGAATCAAGTTCATGTGGGGCCAGAAGGCTTCACTAACCAGGCTTTCTCTCAGAATAAAAGTCCTCATGCAACTCCTACAACTTTGTAATTTCACTCGAATTGAGTGTGCATGGTCAGAAATCAAAAGCTCAGTTCTAGTTGCTCATGATACAAAATCTCCACTGAGAGAAAAACAAAAGGAAATATGATGAAATTGGCGCAAAGAGATTTTAGATTGTTAGATAAGTACTTTCTTTACTCGTGTGATATATAATCTATTGAAATAGCAGTGAAACAGGAACTAGGATCTCCATCCTTGGAAATTTAACAATGGAACAGAGAAAAGATTCTATTCTGTCCCATTCAGTTTTTACTCAATCAAGTGTCATTCTTGGCCTTCGACGGTGGTTTAACCCTTTCATCTTCTCGTGTAGCACCTTATGTAGGCTCTGAGCAATTTGGGGCCTGCACTGTGTTACCTGGGCAGAGTAAGGCTCATAGATTTAGTGCAACGAAGTTGTTACCTAAGTGACTAAATGACACCAGCCAAGTAAAATACCCTATAGTATCTCTGCAAAATTGATCCTAAAATATATGAGTGTGCAGCACTGTGAAATGGAAAAACCTGTAATATTTGTAAGTTTGATGAGTAAAAGTGAGCTTTCACACACTTTGCTCTGGCATGTTTCCTGACAAAGAAAGAGACAGAGAGAGCAGATCTAGCTCTTTTTATCTAATGCCTTATTGTCTCCAAAAGTTCTGCCTGTTTCGAGAAGACCAGACGCCGGTCACCCAAACTGACTGTCCTCCATATTGTTTTGTTTTGTTTTGTTTTGTTTTGTTTTTTTACATACTGGGAGTCACTCTACCACTGAGCTACATTCCCAGCCCATTTTATTTTTTTATTTTGTTATAGGATCTTACTAAGCTTCCCAGGTTGACCTTGAACTTGAGAACCTCCAGCCTCAGCTTCTTTCTTGAGTAGCTGGGATTATAGGCATGCACCACCATGCCCAGTTCCTGACTTATTTTTTTTAATTGCATAAGATGCCTTGTATCCTTATAATTAATCCTATTCTGGTTTTCAGTTTAGGATTTAGCCTCCAATTCCCACTCATCCTGTTGTGCTCCTGGAAAACAGAGGCTTTCACAGACTACCAACAATTTTGCACAAAGCATAATTAATATGATTCATGACGCTGAGCAAAGGAAAAAAACCTCAACATCAAGGTTGAAGACAGAGTAGAACCAAAAAATGAGATCCAGGGAGTTCTGAAAACGGTTAGAGCCTCAGCACAGATACTAGGTTCCAAACACCAAGTACCGCTTTCCTGACCTCTCAATACCTTTAAGAAAGTAGAATTTCTGTCCTATTGTGACTACAAATCATATGTCCTCCATCAACCTAGTATCCCAAAAGCTTTTATTGAACACCTACTTCCAGCCTTGTGAAATGTTTAGCAAAACTGTGATTTTCCTATAAACAAAGCCCCACTAACAGCACTACACTTAATAACAAAAAGCATTGCTAATTATTTTTGTTTTGGGGGCTTTTTGGCTTTTTGTACACTCAAAACACTAGTCAGCAATGTGGCTGAAAAATCACTATAAATAGAAATGTAGAGGTAAGGAGGGAGCTGGCTTTAGGAATTCATTATAATACTAAGTAGTGCCCTGGCTTTGTTTCCGATCAATTTTGTAGCTTCAGATCAAATGAGATCCTTCTAGTCCTTCTACCCACTTCCTACCTATTGTTCCCGGTTGGCCTCTGGTAAAACCAGGGTAGGGTCAGGAAGCAGGAAAAGTGGGGAAGGGTGGGAATGTTGTTTTCTTCACCTGCAACTTAAAGCTGTAACTTTTCTTTCATATTAGAAAGTTGCCCATTCACTGTTTTGTTTGCATACATCTTCTCTGAAAGTTTACTCAAATCCCAGGGCACACCTATTTACAATGAGCCCGTTATAAATGGTCACTGACTCTTTCTGCTATTTCTCCATTGTGGGTGGGAATGCAGTCTGGTGCAACCACTATGGAAATCAATATGAAGATACCTCAGAGAGCTGGGACTAGAGGTTCTATTTGACCCAGCCATCCAAAAGGATTAAAAGAACCATATCACAGTGATATATGTGTACCTATGTTTATAGTGGCACATTTGTAATAGCTAAAACTTGGAAACAGCCCATTTGCCCATCAGTTGGAAACTGGATAAAGAAGATGTGGTTTTTCTATAAAATGGAATACTACTCAGCCATAGAGAATGAGAAATTAGAGTCATTGAGAGGAAAATGGATACATACTGAGGATATACTCCTAAGTGAAATGCATAAGTCACACATGTGTAAATACCAAATAGTTTCTCTGGTGTGAAAAACTATAATAGTACTCAAGATCCTAATGGGATAATTAACAATGTGAAATAGGAAGAAAAGGGCTAAAGGTGTAGGGAAAGTGGGAAGGGGAAGGGGAAGGGAAAGGAGACCTGTCATAAAGGTACAAGATCCCAGTGCTGAATGTAACTGTACTGTATACCTAAAATGTACCAATAAACTCAATGAGAGAAAAAATAAAATAAAAAAATAAATGGTCACTGACACCTTAATATTTAAAATTTCCAAACAAACCACCACAGCAAAGCAGAGGAGGTCACTGCTAACAGGTTCCTAATGACAAGAAGCCAAGCAACAATGACCCACAGAATAATGTCTTCCAACAGGGTCATTAAAACTATTTGCCAGATGTCTTAAAAATTCTGGGTTACCAATGTGTTTCTTCTTTTTTTCCTCTTAGGTGACCTTGAACAAAAATTTGAACTGGAAATCAGTCCTCTTTGTAATCAACAGAAAGATTCAATCCCTAGTATACAAATTGGTGAGTTGAATTCCATGTCATTTTGAAATTAATAGTTTGGCACTTCTTCCAGGAGTTACAAAAAAAGATCCACATGTGCTTTCCAAAATTCAGCGCTGGAAGTTGGAATGACTGAGTCCAAATAAACACTTTATTTGTGACTGATCTACTAGATAATTCTCAACTGAGAAATTATGAAAAGCAGGAGAAAATCCTTGCTATAAACCCTTAACATAATGCTAAATTATTGTATTAACTTCGTGGTTTGTAATACAATTAAAATCAAATCAAGTAGAAGAAAAGTAATAAGAATCAACTGTTCACACTCCAAAGTTTTAAAAGTGGGGAGTCAGCCCCAGGGCTTTTTAGGACCCTTTCAGTGTAAGTACCCATCCCCAGCCTGAACACTCATTCCCAAGGGCTCAGTCCCCAGGCCTAAGCTGCTAGAGCCCTTTTGTCCCCTTGTGGTCTAGGGTCCTGCATTTCTCTGTTCCCCACTTCAAATTATATCCTCAGACTCATTTTCTTAAAACCACACGCTCTGCTCAAGCGTCACTAGTGGTACTGCTAATGGGTGATGGGGGGCATCCAAAATAATTGTGACTTTATCGCATTGTATTATGCATAAGATCATTGAGCAGAGCAAATTATGAAAATTTTATTTCCTTCACTTAAGCAAAGAAAATATTTTTGCTCCAGTAAGAATTTCTTTCACACCTTAAAAACTCCAACTCCATCTACATACAAAGCAAGTCTTTTCTTTTCCCTGCAGTTTCCTTCCGTTAAAACCAAACATACAACTTTAATTGTTTTTCTTATAGCTCTGGCAGTTTATATTTTTATAGCAGTTCATGTTTTTGGTTTTTGGTTTTTTGGTTTTTTTACCATTCCCACAGACCTCAAGCAGCTTAATGCATTTACAGGGTCACAGACCATGACAAGGCTCAAAGTTTAATTCCTTGGCATTGGGAGGGAAAGGGGCATCTGGAAAGATCACCTGAAAACAAAGAAAGTCAGAGCAAAGTGACCTAAGAATGATATGCTGACAGTCACTGTGTGTCAACTCTAACCCTCAGAGGTGTCATAAAATAAGCACTCAAGAAATAAGCATTAGGTGAACTTAGCTACGAAGATATGAATGGAATGTTGACATTATGACATTAAGGATGATCCACAGCTTTCCAAATTTCTCTTACTATCATTATGTTGTTTTGATAATTGAATGATCCCTCCGCCCAAAAATGGAGAAGGTGATAAAAATATGGAACCCAAGGCAAATAATAATATCAATAACAGTAATACACCTCAGCCTCCTTGGATACAGTTGTGTCCTCTCAGAGGCTTTAGTCATAGAGATTCTACAAATAATGTTCCTAATCCCAAAACACTCTGTTAAGCGCTGACTAGAAAAAAAAATTCTAGACAACTGTTAATGATATATTTTGAAACACGGACAGACAGACGCAGATACACACACACACACCCCAAACAGAACCATTCACCCTTCTAAACACACAACCTGGATTTGCAAGACATCCCTGATTTCAGAGATTCTGTCCTGTTGTTGTCATGAGAGCACACTTATTTTGTCAGATCATATGTTCTGATTCTCAGCTCAGGAAATTGTCATTACCATAGATACCTCTTTTTAAAATGGGGCAGAGGCTGAATGAGTAGAGAAATCCCATGAATGCTACACCAGCACACCAATACTAACAAGAAAGAGAAGGTGATTATAAAATGGCCCTCGGTTCATAAACCTTTCTCTTTCTAGCTCCATATGTGGCTGCTCTTACAGGTTCAGAATTGGGAAGTGCAACAAGGGTAGATCGGTCTAAACCGGAAAAACCCAATCTGATGAACAGAGTCTAAGGGGTGCTGCATGTTCCAGCATTCCTGTCCCATGACCCCCATCTGGCAATGATTTTCCCACTGGGTCCTAAGAAATGCTACAATGTCCTCTGTCCTGACTCCCTTTTCTGGGAAATGACCCTTCTCTTTTTCCAGTCCCATTCCAAAATGAGAATTTTTTTAAGTGCAGGTCTCAATTAGGATTAGATCTGCTTTTTCTACATAAGTAATTCATATTTACCCAAATGAAACTTGGGCTAAGCATTCCCTACCAACACCAACAATTCCTCCTCTCTCTACTAAATTTGGTATTTTTAAAAGAAGGTTTTAAATTAAATGAATATCGGATTGACCACTGTTCCTCCTGTCTCCCTCTCCCATCCCTCCAGGACAACACTCTAGCAAACCCAGTCTATCCCTGGGGAAGAGACAGTGGCAAAGCAGGATCCCAAGTAGCTTTCCTCTCCATGAAAAATCACCTCATGGTATCCATTCAAACTTTAAAATCACTTTCCTGCCTAGAGTAGGGGCTCTGTATATCTGAAAAGTATAAATATAGATATTTATACTTTAAATAATAGAATAGTTTGTGCATCTTTTCACAAACTATCTTTTTAGATATCAAATATCTAATTTTTAAGTAAAAGATATTAGAAAATAGATATGGAGATTGTAAAGGAGATGAAGAGAATTCAAGAATAGCAAGCCAGTGGCACACATGCCTGCTGTGCCACCTACTCAGGACACTAAGCCTGGAGGATGGCAAGTTCCAAGCCCGCCTGAGCAGTTTATCAAGGCTATGTCTCAAAATAAAAAATAAAAATAAAAAGGAATGAAAATGAATCTGAGTGGTACAGCAACCCTGGATTCACTCCCCAGCACAAGGAAGAAAGAAGGGAAAAAAGGAGAAAGAAAGGATAGAGAAGAGAGGAGAGGGAGAGAAAGGAAAAAGAAAGAGAAAGAGGTAAGGGGAGAAGAAATGAGAGAGATAAAAGGAAGGAAAAAAAGAAAGAGGGAGGGAGGGAGGGAGGGAAGAAGGGAGCAAGGAAGGAATTAAGGTAGGGAGGGAGAGAGGGAAGGCATTGTGACCTTATCAAAATGCCCAATACAGACATTAAGCCACTGGTTTAACTTCTGTCCTTCCATTCAGGTTATCTAAAATGATCTCAGTATTTAAATCATATTTTGCATAAAATGAGATAATGCAGAAATATACAGTAACATTTCACACTGTTGGATCCTTTTCTGATCTTTCTAGCATCTTCAAAGGCCAAATGTCTACTGTGTTTGTCCAATAAAAAGATTACCAAATCAAGACATAATTCATATGCCCATAAATACACAGGCTTAGTTGGTGGAAAATTTTGTTATGCTGTAAAACATTTCCCACATTTACATTTTAAGGAAAAATAATGGAATCTAAATAAATCCCAGTTTGTGATGATTCCAAGAATTCTAGCCTAGACTGAAAGTTATCTTTGCTTAACAAATCATGTTTAATATGGAAAACACATTAACATCAAAACACAATTAGGAAGCATCAAGTCTTCAATCATTAAAAGAACAGACATGCAAACAGAGAAGTTAATATCAGAAGATCTTCTGTAGTCATTAAAGTGAGACTGTTCTTGCAGCTAAAAATCTGTACTTGAAATGAATGGGCTTGCTTGACGCAATTGAAAGCAAGATCCAAAGCAAGACAGTCTTGAAAAACATATGGTACACAGTAAGTGTATAAATTCTTCAGATGGTCTGAAGTTGTAAAGTAACCCTTCCTGATGTTGTCTGCCCTTTTCTCCCCTCCCAGTCAGCCTTCCTTAGTTCCAGAACACACTCTTTTCCTTTTCTATTTTCATGTCTTTTTCTCTCTCTGCAAATAATAACAGCTCCTATTTATCAGGGCTTATTTCGTGCCAGGATCTGTTAAGCATTTTACACTTTGTGTTAGATTTTCATCGCTCTAACAAATTCCTGAGAAAATCAGTTTTTTTAAAGGAGGACAGATTTATTTTGGCTCATGGTTTCAGAGGTTTTAGTGCATAGTCAGCCGGCTCCATTGATTTTTGGGCTTGTGGAGAAGCAGAAACACCATAGCAGAAGGGCATGGTGGGAACACAGCTCACCTCATGCCCACCAGAAAGCAGAGAAGGGAAGACCCAGAGAGGAAGGACCCGGAACTAGATATAGTCCCCCAAGTCATTCCTTCATGATCTTCTCCCTTCACCTGGGCCCCACCTCTGTTTCCATCACCTCCTAATAATGCTATTAAACTACGATCTCAAGTCAGGGTCACAGCCCACACCTGTAATCCAGCACTCTGGGAAGCTGAAGCAGGAAGAGCACAGCAGAGCCCAGTTTAGGCAATTTAGTGATTTAGCACGACCCTGTCTCAAAATTTAAAAAAAAATTTTTTTTTAAATTTTAGGGGGGCAGCCCCACCTCAGAACACAAGAGCCTTTTGGAGGACATTTTTTTTATCTAAACAAAATACATTGTACGTGCTATACATGTATTGTCGTTTAGTAATAACTACCTTAAGGGTTCGGTTGCTATTCTTCTTAGCTCCTTTTCACAGAAGAGGAAATGAGGCACAGAGACGTGACAGGCCCACAGCAGCACATCTCAGGGTCCTACACTAAGGGTAGTGACCACACCTTGTCTGTGTCCCTGTCCCCTGCCGGGTACACTTGGGTCCCCACCCGTGCTTGGGGAGGAGTACGCGGTGATACCTCAGGTGACTGACACGGACTTGCCTCTTGCCTGCGGCAGGTTTCATGACCTACATCGTGGAGCCTCTCTTCCGGGAGTGGGCCCGCTTCACCGGAAACAGCAGCCTGTCGGAGAGCATGCTAAGCCATCTCGCACACAACAAAGCCCAGTGGAAGAGCCTGCTGTCCGAGCAGCACAGGCGCAAGGGCAGTGTCACTGGCGCGGAACTCGACGGCCCCGGGACTGAGAGTGAGGAGCAGACTGTGGCCGAAGGCGACGCACTGTAGCGCCCTGCTCGGCGACACTGGATCTCCTTGAGGGAGGCCTCCATGCCCGAGGGGCCTCTTGCCAGCAGCCGGCGCTCCTGGGTTTCATCCCGGGCTCTTTTGAACGCCACCCTCCTCCCACTTACCTGACTCCCCTCCTTTTTCCAAGTGTACAGGAGCCATTTGTCACCTCAGCACTTGCTGCTGAAATGAACGACTCCATTCAGTCACGTGGGAGCTGATTCCAGGCAGGCTGCCCCCACCACCACCACCACCAAGGAGAGGACGGATGGGAGTGAGAAAGAGGTGCTTCTGCCATGTTCCCTCCGGCCCTGGGTCGCACTGTGACAGGCAGCAGCTCCTAGCTCCAAGGCGTTTGGGGGTTCGCCATCTGACTGCTGATCTGCAGGACAAAAACACCAGCATATTTGGAACTTCGAGGATATTGGTCTTAAGTGCAAGAGCACAAACAAGAGCGTGAAAGTACCTTCTATTTTAATAATAATTATTATTATGAGAATAATAATAGATCTTTTTAACTTTTATATTTTATGCACTAGACAATGGATCTAAAGCTTTGGACTAAGATTATTCGGTGTACCCAAACTTGAATAGGGGGTTCATTGTTTTGCTATTGACTTCATGCCACTTTGGGTCAGCGATTTGGCATCTTCTCAATTTAAGAACCACGTTTCCTTCTGATCAGGGGGGAAGGTGCTGTACAGTTCATTCCTTTGCACCATTAGCCAATCTGTCTTTTATGGATTCAGTGACCTGTTTATATTCACAAATGTACATTTTCTGTAAATACCAAGCGCTACTGATTCCCATGCCAAAATACATGAGTATTATGGGATTGCTACCTGTATAAACAATGGCACTGTGAACAGAATACTGTTAGTTTTAATACAAGAGAATGCATTTGTAAATATGGTATAGAGTTTATTAATATACTATTGTTTGCAGATAAAGGCCTTAACTTTAAACGTCTTTCGTCTTCTGAAAGCTGCCCAACTTAAATCCTCACAGATGTCTTTCTGAACTGCCTGCCCAAGTCCATCATTTCGCTTTCCAGCTAAGATCACAAAGCAAAACTGAAAAAAGCACCGAGGAAACGTTTTCACGGAAACTCCACATGCATTCCGCTTGAGACCATAGGGTTTAATCTATGGCACCAAGCATCGTTTCCTCAGATTAATGAGACCTTTCAGCAAGCCTGAAGTCACTTTTTCAACACAGTGATGTTGCACACTCTGTTTTAACAAGCCAGCTGATAAGCTAGTGTTTATGTGACTTGTTATGGAACACAGTGGTGCACCAGCCTCACAGGAGACATAGCAGGTCCTGGAAACCTCTTATGACCCTGTCATCCAATCATCAGGGATTTCTCTGCTCCCATCCCACATATTTTGTCTGTTGTGGCTACAGCACCAAAGTATCTTTGGTTTATGGTTGGCGTGTGTTTCCCTGGTGTTAATAGTAACTGGATTTTTCTTTTTCCTTAATTTCATGTAAACAAATACCCCACTGTTTAGCTGAAGTTAACATTATTTAAGTAAAGAAACTATTTCAGTTTTATGACAGATGTTACCCTCCTAGCAAGTCCTTGTGGCTAATTATGGCTGGATCTAGCAGAGACACTTTGGAATTTTGTTGCCCTTTCTCTCTGAAGACACTTGGCTGCAAAATCCAATTTGTTACAGCATTTTTCCCTAGTCTGCTAAACTCTGTGTGTGTGTGTTGAATCTTTTCCTTAGAAGTTCTAGCACAACTAATGCTCAATGAAAATTATTGATGCCCATTTCTCTTTACCTTAAACAATGTGGTAGTGGGAGAATGACCATTTCTGCCATAATCAAGCTCTTTCTCAAGCTTGTGGAATAATAGCCAGGTCTCAGTTCCTAAGTGCAATGGGTTTGGGTTTGGTTTTTTTCTCTTTTTCTCCTAAGATGCAAATGAAATATTAGAAACTTGACTGGTCTGTAATACGTTGCTATAGAGAGACTGAGGCTTGTCAAGGTTAAGGTTTGGGGGAATTTTGGAAAGTTGGTTTTATTTTCATTTAAAGAAAGTGAGATTGTCAGGTGGTGTTGATGAAAGTGCAAAGATCTTATGTAATGAGTGGATATAAATTAAAATTATTGATACAGATAAAGAGGGAAGTAGTGTAAACTTAGAAAACATTAACTTTTGCTTTTTGTCATGACTGTTAACTGACACATTTCATTATCACTTAAATATTCTGAACCTCTCATCTTGATGTGGCCCCAAAAGAGAATCTGTTGGATAGATTCCTGCTTCCAAATCTTTCTTACTTGGTTAGATGATTCAGAGTGCTACAGAGTAGTCTTTTAATGTATATGAGATCAAATCAGGGAAAGCGATCGCTGGGAATGTGAAAGTAGATAGGAAAGAAGACATTATTTTAGTTCATGGAACTTCTAGATTGAGTTTAGGAGGTGGGATTTTGTTTAAATTATATTTATATCATGACTTAAAGAAGATAAAAAGTGGTCTGAATAGCCTCAAGTTTATAGGGCAAAAGTGTTCCTTTTTCTTTCTTTCTTTCTTTCTTTCTTTCTTTCTTTCTTTTTCTTTCTTTCTTTCTTTCTTTCTATCTTTCATATCCAGGATTGAACTCAGGATCTTGTGCTTGCCAGGCAGGCACAGTGCCCACTGAGCTACATCCCCGGCCCCAATTTAGTAATTTTTTTTTATTAGTACCGGGTAGCTTGCAAGGCAGGTGGCAGGCCCAATTTAGTCTTAAAGAAGAACTCACTGACAAAGCTACCAAAGCATCTAATGGCTAATCCTATGAGGTATCAGCTAGGACAATAACAATCTGAAGTAAAATGAGACATGAGGCAAAACTAGGAGCATTTAACTCTGTCACTCAACTCTGGCGATTTCTTGAGCTCCTCTTTGTTGACAAAAGAAAAAGAAAAACAACATGGCAACTCTTTTTTTCTAGCCCACTAGTGGCTCTCTTGTAATATTTCAACAGGAATCCAATTATAACTTTTGAGATATAACTATTAGATCATCCATGGATTTACAATATTATTCTGCTAGCTCATGGATCATCAACCATTGACTTACCAAGTTTAATTCTTTCATTGCTTGAGAAGAAAGAGCACAAAGGGCTATTTTTAGTAAGTTAAAGGTAAAGTTAAGATCAAATTAAGAAAGTAAGTATACATCACTGCCAGGCTTCATAGTAAAAGCAGTAATGAAAGGTCAGACCTGACTCATGAAACTCTGGCCTACCAATAGCTCCCTGCTAGGCTAATTGAAAAATGGCTCTATTTCTCCTGCTTATGGCTTCCCACAAAGGGCTGTAGAGTGTGTCTGGCAACCCTGTCTTTAGGTAACTCTCCCTACAAAACATAGATATATTTTGTAATCTTTTCTCATGTTGAATCAGATAATGCTCACTGGTTTGGATTTGGCTATGAGCTTGTATCCCACTGTATTTCTCATGCTTCATTCCTTTAAGCAAATCCTTAAAAGTGTGTTGTTTTGTGTACACATGTAAGGTTTGGGGAAAATTTTGTGAATTTTGCTCAAAATGTGGCCTAAATATCCATTGGCATGTCTAGGTGAACAATTTAAAATAAAGATAATTTCTTAAAAATATCACAGTATGAAAATACCCCAATTCTTACCAACAAACATGTTACCAACCAATCAACTAGAAACATTTATGAGAGGAATGTTCAATGGAAGAGCAGAGGTACAAACACGGTCCACAGGACTCATTCCATGGGGGGTGGCTACAGACACACCCACGTGGATGATGATGTCACTTTCCAGTTACCACCAACTTAGGGAAACAAGTCAACCTTTGGCTCTACATTTCTCCAAGGTCCTGATATTTTTCTTGATTCATGTTTTTCAAATTCATACATGAATGAGAATAAGGTACAATGTTTTAGGTTGGGAAAACATAACCTAAAGGCATACAGCCTCAATGCAATAATTATTTGTGGAAAAATACAGTCTCGCTTTTCAGGATCAGAAACTATGTAGAACAATAAAATGGTTCAAGGCAGGACAACTGAGTACTCTAAACATATCCTGAAATAGATGAGAAAAAGAGCATCATCCATGTTTCCCAGAAACATACTTGTATCATTACATATTCCCTATATCCATTTCATTAACATTTATATTCAGAATCTCCCTGATTTTGTAATGCCTCTTCATATCTGAATGCAAAGCCACATTTGTGTGTGTGCTATCATAAAGTCAAAAACCATCAAAGAGACCCCACTGGTACCCCAACTAAGGATCAGACATGGCTTCCAATATACGTGGACGCCTAGCTGAAACTTTGTCAAGGAGGCGGAACCCACATGAACAGTTAAATCTCAGTTAAGCAAATATTGATGGAAATTCACTGTGCTCCAGAAGTGCTGGATATTAAAATGTGAAAGGACCCAATTCCTCCAGGAGCAGTCAATCTTGTGTCAATGACAGACATCACCATCGAGTGCTTCCTCGAGAATTCAAGAAACCCCTGCAGCCAAAACTCCTTTCTAAATCTCCAACATAGTAGAAAGCAGATAAGCTTCCAAGCTAAAAGTGGGTCCTGCTCCTTTTCTGTCACTAACTTAGTCTGTGACTTGAGGAGAATTATAAAAACGACTATAAAAGTAATTCCAAATAATAATGTCCTTTACAGTATTGTGGCAATTAAAAGATTGCCTACAAAAAGCACCAAGCATTCTGTCAGCTGTGAGGTACACTTTTAACGACAGAGTATCTCTCCTCTTAAATAACAAGAAAGTTGGCAAGTAATTATTCACATGTAGGTAAGAATAGGGAGAATGACGGGGGAAATGGAATAAAGAAGTGTTGGTGGTTTCCCATTAATAAATCAAACTCATTTTTACAGTTTTTGACACAACAGTCAATGTACATACTTGTTTATTTGCAAAGCTGAGTAAAAAGATAACTCTTTCAGCTGGGGATTTGGCTCAGTGGTTCTGCCGCTTGCCTCACAAGTGCAAGGTCCCAAGTTAGATCCCTAGTACCAAAAAAAGAGGAAAAAAAAGTTTTGGGGCAGGGAATTTGGCTCAGTGGTTCCACTGCCTGCCTAGCAAGGGCAAGGGCCTGAGTTCAATCCCTGGTACCAAAAAAAAAAAAAAGATTACTCTTTCAATCTGTTGCCCAAAGCAAGATCTGCCCAACCTATTTTTCTGTTTAGTTCCCCAGAATCTGCAGTAAAGGACAGTGCATCCTTTCTTTGCAGTTCTGTGGACACATCAGTGAAGGAAACAAGTCATAAAAACAAAATGAGAGTTGTTCATCTCCCTTGTGTCTATGCCACCAAAGGCCTACTTCTTGCTGGTATGGCTCTGCTCCCATTGTCAGCCCCAAAGGTTTGTGGGGCTTTCTTTTTACAAGGAGTAGGCATGGGTTGACATCTGGCAGGATTCCCTCAGTCCACACAGTTCGCATATTTCCAAATACATTGCGAGCTATTGCTTATTGTCTGTCTTTGTCACTCTCTCCTTGCTGAGACACAAACCCAACATTCACAAATGAAAGGAGGAGAGGTTTATTTGGGCTCATGTTCCAGTCCATGGTCGGTGGACTGTAAAGAAGAAACAGCATGGCAGACAGGCACAGTGGAGGAGAGCTTCTCACATCTTGGCATCCAGGAAGCAGAGCGGGAAAGGAGGAGCCCAGGATCAAGAAAAACCATTCCAGGCCATGCCCCTGTTGACCTGTGTCCTCCACCCAGACCTCACCTCCCAGTAGCAAGCCAGTTATACCGTCCCATAATCCAGTCACCTCCCAGATGCCCGGCATGTTATCACATGAGGCACATTCAGATATAAAGCAATGTCCTACAACACGTCACAAAGTGCAGCCATATCTTCACATCTGTTGGAGAAGAGATAGGACTCCCTGCTTCCACAGAAGTGGAATGAATAAACATTTGAGTAATGACTAAAGGAGCAGAGCTTAGCTATAAAACAGTACATAATAGACTTTTATTTTCAATTAATTCAGAGAAATTATTGGAAAAAATTTTTGTTTTAGCTCGTCTTGGTTATCCAAGCAAAGATGTATCATTAATTCAATTACCTAAAATTCTTCCTATTCTCATGTGACAAAGACTGATCGAATCTTCAGTATTTTTTGCCTTTTGGGGAAACAATGTGGTAGTTTTTGAAAGCACATTCTTTGGAATCAGAAAGACCAGAATTTAAAATTTCTCATCACTAGGCAAATAGTTTAATGTCCCTGCTCCTCTTCCTTTTGTGTATGAAATGATAGTAATACCTATCTCCAGGGGTATCTGTGAGATCAAAAGCAAATAGCATGCATTGCACACATATCACCATCTCTAGAGGAAAGGAGATTGATATAGTTTGCGCCTAGCCTGTCCCCCAAAGGCTCTGGTGTTAAAGAGTTGGTCCTCGGCTTGGTGCTATTGGGAGATGGTGGATCTGTCGAAGATGGGTCCTACTGGAAGGATAACTATGTAATTAGAGGTGTATCCTTGAAACAAATGTTGGACGGTGGCCCTTTTCTATCTCTTGCTTTAATTTTCCAGCCTCTATACAGTAAACAGTTTCCGCCACCATGCACCCCTGCCATGATATGCTGCCTCACCATGGGCCCAAATGCAATGGGGCTAAATAACCATGGGCTAAAACCTCCAAAACTCTGAGCTGAGATAAACCCTTCTTCACTAAGTTAATTATCTCTGATATTTTTGTCACAGTGACAGAAAGCTGACCAACACAGGAGTACTCAACAAATTCCTACAGAGTTTAAGAGAAAAAGTCTATAAAAGTAGGACTTAGGATGCATCTTTCTATAAGTTGTATCAACTTTTGTGCCAGCCAAAAACACAAGACCCACAGACGTGGAGCATGATTTTTATCCCCAAGTGGCTGGGTTGGCCATAAAATAATCAAAAAGATTAACATAAACTGTTACACAAAATGCTGTCAAACATTATTGAAAAAAGAAGACCATGTTCCCGGAGCACTTAGAACACACTGAAAAAAGAGCAGAGACAAATAAGAAACTATCTCTTCTGATTTTTAAAGTAAATACTCCTCATTACAGCCATGGAGCACCAGTTTGGTTAATCTAACGCTTTTCTAAAATTGACAAGAATTAAATTCTGGTGGGAGAGAAGATTTAGTAAAATAAATAAACTTGATAATCTGCCAAGTGTTTGTGAATTCCACTCAAATCCTACATATCAAGGTTTTCAGTAGTCCTTCTCTTTCTAGCTTCTTCCAGATCCTGTGTGACCATTCATAGCAGCAAGGGCCTCAGGTTGTCTCTACAGATAGATAGCTCAGAGATGGACTCTGTTCTCCTAAAGTAACATTTCCCAAATAGCATAAAAATTCATTACCAAAAGAGGTATGTTAACTGTTCTCAGGGGAATCAAAATGGATTCACAGCCAAAGAAGTTTGCAAAATAATGGATTAAACAGATAGGTTTCTCCCCTGTATCTTTTCAGTGGTCTCATGTGCTCTCTCTCTCTCCACCAAAATAATGCAGATGACAACATTCATTTGGTCCTACTTTTGTTTCAGAACATGAAGCCTTCTTAACTATCCCAATCCCAGA